CTGATTGTTTTCCTCAGGAAAATAAATTGTCTCATGTGCTCTCTCTCTCATTCTCTCTGTCTCAAATAAATAAATAAAATCTTAAAAAAAAAAAAAAAGAAGAAGAAACTGTACCGTGATTTGGGCTCAAGTCCTCTGTACTGCGGGACTTTCCACCTGGGTATCTGAGAGCTTTTTCTTTTTTCTTTCATTCTCTTATCTGTCTCTTGTTTGCCATAAGGCTTAGGTGTAAGGGATTGGAGTTGGCTAGAGTTGAAGAGGTGATAATGAATGGTGCTCAGGAAAAGGGTGAAGTTTGGCAGAAACCCTTTGTTTTCCTCAGATTAGCCCTGGGTTCTTTGAAGCCTAAAAACCATCTCCTCGGATTTCTGTATCTCGTGAGGCAGCCTAGCACACAGCCTCCTGCCTGATACAGTTTTCAGAGTTGGGTTACTGAGGGCTCTGAGAAAGGAAGAGTGCACATTTCCGACCATACAGAGCCTGTTTTCAATAGAAGTATAGATTCCGAAGAATGTTCTATCCCAGCAGTCCACAGGCTAGCTTATTAGCTATTTTTCAGCACATCGTTTTTTCTGATGTGAGTTAATGCTCCCGTTTCTTGGTTCCTGGTGAACTGGCATTTAAAGATCCTCTCCTCTGGTTTCCTGAGGAAGGGGTGGAGGTCAGAGGCATCTCTATGGATGTGATCGTTACCATGACACTTGAAAAAAATCTCTCTCTGGCCTGGAGGATAAATGAGTAAATAGTTCCACATTCCATATCTTCCACTGTGGGAGTTTGGGCTGCCCAGAGATTTAGTTTTAATTAGTAGTTTGGTGAATGCACAAGTGAACGCATAGAGTTAGCAGAACATTTCTTGGCATTGATTTAGAATGTGGCAGATCCTTAAAAGCCTGCCGGTAGTCCCTTGGATGTACTTGACAGGGTGGTGAAAGCTCGTTAGGGTAAGTGTGAAAAACAACCATACCACCTGGCATTTAAAGGAGCTGTTCTCCTCTAACAGGTGTAATAATTAATTTGACTGGGTTCAGTGTGTGCTTGAAATTTATCCACAGGAAGGGAGGAGACAAAAGCACTCCAGCAGCAGCAACAGCAACAAATGAATACACACACACACTCTCACACACACACACACACACACACACGAACCGCACACCCACATTTAGAAGACACAGTGTACATATTCAATGTTACTGCTTTAGCCTGGACTTAGGTGATGCCTTGGGCCATGTGTCTTGGATATGGACACATAGAGCATCCATGTTTCAACACCAATTCTCTGACACCAGCTGGGGTCCTGTAATTCAACTCCGACACTAACTACCTGGAATGAGCGTCAGATTCTGCAAATTTGAGGGCTGAGTTCTTTACAAGACTGCCCCCCACTTCAGTCGCCAGCCACAAGTTTCCAGTGTCCCTGAGCCACTTATACTTCTGCCTGGCTGACTACAGATTTTGGGCTTCCCATAACCCCTTCAGGTTTGATAATTCTCTAGAGTGACTCATGGAACTCAGGAAAATGTTATACTTACTATCACCATTTTATCATAAAGAGTGCAAATGAACAGCCAGATAAGGAGATACATAGGGCAAGGCCTGGGAGGATCACAAGCTCAGGAGCTTTTGTACCTGGTACATTTGTAGATTTACCAACCAGAATACTCCCCTGAGTCTTGGTGTCTAGAGATTTTTTTTAATGGGAGTTTCATTATATAGGCATGATCGAGTCAACCATTGGTCACTTAATTGAACTCATTCTCCAGCCCCCTTATTATCCTTGGAGGTCAGGTGGCTGAAAGTTCCAGTATAATTTCGTGGGTTTTCTGGTGACCAACTCCCATCCTGAAGCCATCTAGGGGGCCACCATAAGTCACCTCATTAGCATAATAAAGATACTCCTGTCACTCAGGAATTTCCAAAGGTTTTTGAAACTTTGTACCAGGAATTGAGAACAAAGACCAGATATATATATAAAATTATTCTACCATGGTATCCACGTTTCCAGAATTGGAATAATGAGTTCAAAGAGTTTTATAATTAGATCAAAGTAAGCTTGTGTTAATTCTGCCTCTTGTTTGGGTCACCGGGCTCTTGCTTTTCTTCAATCAGTATAAATGAACTGCCATGTCTCTTGAATTTTGGCTCATTCTTGAGCTCATTCTTGTGCCATATTTGAGGTGTTCCATTTAAATATGGTGTTTTATCATCATTAATCAGGTCATATGTATCCATGATGTTTCGTCCACATACCGAGTGCCTGTGCTCCTGGAGGAACAAGGCATTGTTAAATATTTTAAAGAGAGATTGGATCTGCCCATTGGTGATTCTGCAAGTAATTTGCTTTTCAAGTGGAGAAATATGGCTGACAGGTACGTGAAAGGAATTACTAATGTAATCTTTAATAATTCTTGGGTTTGGGGGTAGGATTGAGACATACTTTGAAGTATACCTAAGTCACATTGACTTTCTGTATGTATATATTTTGGTCTGGATTTATCTAAAGCTTTAATACATTGGTCGAGTGTTTTGCTGTATTCTTTGAAGATTTCTGGAGCTTTTGACTTCGTTCTACTTAAACGAAAATGAATTGATAGAATGATTTTTTTTTTTTAATTCTGGAAGCATTTTGATTGATTTCTCAGTTTCTGAACATTTTAAACATGTTTAAATGTCACAGATTTTTGCTGTTTGTTTTGCTTGTTTTTTTTTTTAAGCTTATTTATTTTTTAGTAGTCTCTATACCCAATGTGGGGCTCAGACTCAACGACCCTGAGATCAAGAGTCACATGCTCTTCCAACTGAGCCAGCCAGGAGCCCCTGTTTTGCTTGTCTTTAAAGACTTGGCTAGGGGCGCCTGGGTAGCTAAGCCTTAAGCGTCTGCCTTTGGTGCAAGTCATGATCCCCTGGGATCGAGCCCCGCGTTGGACTCCCTGCTCGGCAGGAAGCCTGCTTCTCCCTCTCCCACTCCCCCTGCTTGTGTTCCCTCTCTCTCTCTGTCAAATAAATAAATAAAATCTTAAAAAAAAAAAAAAGACATGAATAACATTTCCTAAAGAAAATCCCCTTTGAATGAGAGGTTCAGTCTCTATCATTATTGCTCCATCCTGCAGTTATTAACTGGCAGCATTGTTATTAAAACCTCAGACAGGTTCTAGCTTTAAGACCACGATATTAATTTCAGCGAGGCTTGTCTCATTTGAAGTCATATGGAAATTAAATTCCTGTCACCTATTTTCTTTTACTACATTTAGTAAAAGAAAGGCATCACTCCATAAAGTCCTGACTGCCTTGCTTTTCATGCAGCTTAGGTGAGAGGCAGTGGTTACAAATGTCGGCTCTGGTGTTGCTAAGGAGTAGATCTTATTGTGCTGATCGTTTCGTGATACATACAAACATTGAATCATTATGTTGTATCCCTGAAACTAATACAAGGTTATTTGTCACTTGTATTTAAATTTAAAAAAAAAAGTAAGCTCTGGTATCAGGCACTCTGGACTGAGATCCCAGCTTCTCCTCTCACTAGCTGTGTGAGTTTGGGTGGATTACTTAACTTCTCTGGACTTGTTCTCCCATCCACATATAACAGGGGTATACTAGTACCCACATTGTGATAATTATGAGAGAAAACACTTAAGACCTTAATCTCACATTGGGCGCTGAGTATTGGTTACTGAGGTTGGTAACAATAATTAAAGTGGTTTGAAGGTGACAAAAGCACTGATCTTGGTAGATGATCAGTAGATTGATCACCTATCAGTCTTTCACTTAAAAATTTAAAAAGTGTCTTAGAATTTCTGGGACAAGTAAAATCAGGAACAAAGTGCAGTTTCTGAACTTAGGTACTTTCTTGCATGATGATACAGTTAAGCCCCTGCCCTCCAGAATGCTTAAGGAATCAGTCCCTTTGGGGGAACTTTCTGAGTAGCTTGGGGCTGATCCTCTTTAAGCACTAGAAATTTTAATATATAACTCCTTTTATTGGAAATAGCTCTAAATTATACTCTGAGCTGCTGTGCTTTTAAAAGCCAGTGTTTGTTTGTTTGTTTTTTAAGATTTTATTTATTTATTTGAGAGAGTGAGTGAGCGAGAGACAGAGCATAGAGGTAGAGTGGGAGGGAGAAGCAGACTCCCCACTGAGCGGAGAGCCCGACGCAGGGCTCAGTCCCAGGACCCCGGGATCTTGACCCGAGTCGAAGGCAGATGCTTAACCGACTGAGCCACCCAGGCACCCCCAGTGTTTGGTCTTCATGTTAGTTTCCTTGGCAGCTGTAACAAATGTCCGCAAACTGAGTGGCAGAAAATATCAGAAAAGTACTATCTCACAGTTGTGGAGGTCAGAAGTTCAAAATCAAGGCATCAGCAGGATTGGTTTCTTCCGGAGTCTCTGAGGGAGAAACCATTCCAGCTTCTGGGGCTGCCGGCAATCCTTGGTATCCTGTTTCTGCCTCTGTCATTGCATGGCCTTCTCTGTGTCTCTCCTCTTCTCTTCCTTTCTCTCTCTTTTTTCCCCTCCTCTTCTCTTTTTGTATAAGGATGCTTGTCTTTGGATTTAGGACCTATCCTAATTCAGGATGATCTCATCTCGAGATCCTTAACTTAATTGTATCTGCAAAGACCCTTCTTCCAGATATGGTCACATCCACAGATTCTGGGGGACATAGGTTTTTGGGGGCCACCATTCAGCTCACCATAGTCTTCAAGCAAAAGGGATATTGAGCATTGGTCTCTCGTGGTGATGTTGGTTTATTGGTAATGAGGGTATGTACTGTCCCCTCAGTACAGCCTATAGAGAGATGCAAGAAAGCAAGCAGAGGGAGAGAGAGAGGGAGGGAGAATCTCCAGCAGACTCCCTACTGAGCAAGGAGCCAGATACGGGGCTTGATCTCACAACCCTGAGATCATGACCTGAGCCGAAATCAAGAGCCTGACGCTTAACCAGGGTAGCCTTGCTCATGGAGATCCAGTGCTGTTCAGAGGCCAGGGGTCCCTGGTTGAACGGGATGGCAGAGCTCGCCTGGGACCCCAGGCCAAAGTGGCGACGGCTCGCCTCCCTGGGGACCTGCCTGTGGGGTGGGCCTGCAAAGTGGCTCACAGCAGCCTCAGTGGCTGACCCCCTCAGCTGATGGCTAGGTGCGGAGCAGGTGAGAGCTCGGCTGGTCTGGACAGGGCCCCCTGAGCCTCGACTGCAGGCCCAAGAGTGAAAAAGAGCACGAGAGGAGTGCGCTCAGGATACATATCCTTCCTGGACGGCAGCCCTTTTCCCTGGGACATGTGGCCTGTCTCCTCCAGCTGCTGAGTGACTCCTCCTCTCCCCTGGATAGATCAGACTGAGTGAGTAGGAGGAGCTGGTGGTGTTGACCCCAGTCCTTCTTCCTTCCTGGGAACAGAGTGGACATCCCTCCTTCAGTGGAGGAGTGAGAATAGTGGGGGAAGGGCTCAGCCCAGTGGGTCAGCTCAGATGTGGTTGTGATCACCAGTTCTCCAGGCCCAAACCTGGCACGGGAAGCATTTCCCTCTGACGTTGTATCAGAATCTTGCTTGGATACCAACTTACTTTGTCACCTGTGTCCTTTGAGTAGGGATGGGGTGAAGTATGAGCAGCCATGCAATCTCCTGAGCGACGTAAAATTCAGTAGCAATCTAAAGGCTTAGCAGCTTTCTCTGAGGTTCTTCAGTCACCTTCGTAGAAAGTCACCTTTCCTGTCAGTTTGAACTTCTTAGCTTCTTATGCATTTTTCGCCTCGCAGCCTGTGTGCAATCATTCTTGTCTGGCACCCTTTGCAGATGCTGGTATGAAAGTGGAGTGTTCCCACTCACGGTAACCTTTCTGTTCTAAGGTGTTTGGTGACGGGTTTGCTTTCAGGCCCTAAAACATCTTTAGCTCCAAGATGACATTTCTACATACTTAGTACCAGACCAGACAATTCAGACAATTTTCATGTACAGATTTCCTAACAAAGCAACAGGAAACATTGTGTCTTTAGTGGTAAAATGTGATTGAGCATCTTATGTAGAATGGAATTTTCTCATAAAAATGATCCAAATGGCTTGTAATATTTTCGGTAGTTCTCTTAGTGCCATTCTTCGGGCATGCCTTGAATAACCTGCCTTTGTGGGCCAGCTGGGACTGTAACCATTTTTAACGTAGACAATTTGAATGCATTTTCTTATATAACGTCACCTTACAAAGTTAATATTGAAGTGTTTCCTGTTGACATTCAGAATGCATTTTCTTATACAGTGTCACCTTATAAACGAATTTAAAGACAGCTCATGTTTATGAGACGGGGAGACTTTTTTTAAAAAATTTTTTATTGTTATGTTAGTCACCATATAATACATTGGTTTTTGATGTAGTGTTCCATGATTCATTGTTTGTGCATAACACCCAGGGCTCCATGCAGAACGTGCCCTCTTTAATACCCATCACTGGGCTAACCCATCCCCCCACCCCCCTCCCCTCTACAACCCTCAGTTTGTTTTTCAGAGTCCATCACAGGGAGACCTTTTTTATTTTTAATGCTTTTAACAGTTTCTCTGATACACCTTCCTTGGATTTATGTCTGTGCCTGCTTATGTCAGACACACAGATTTTCATTCACTAGGGGTGGAGTGGGGATTTGAGTCAAGTACATCAAGTTCGAGGCTCATCTGCCCTTAAGGTTTTAAGAAGTGCCTTGGGATAAGAACAGTGGCTGTCATTATATTTGTGATGTTATATTACATGCATATAACTCTTAAGCTTGTCTTTCATCTCAGGTATGAAAGGTTGCAGAAAACGTGCTCCATAGCCTTGGTTGGCAAATACACCAAGCTCAGGGACTGCTACGCCTCTGTGTTCAAAGCCCTGGAACATTCAGCCTTGGCCATCAACCACAAATTGAATCTGATGGTGAGCCCCTACTGGTCTTCCGCATATTTCAGTCACTCGCTGTGGTATCTCGTGTTGTGTTGAAGGGTCCCCAAGACTTCCGCCAGGATTGATGTCACCAGGAGGACTCACAGTACTCAGCATATTGCCTGCCTTGTGGCTAAGGTTTAATACAGTGAGAGGATACAGAGCAAAGTCAGCAAAGGGAAAAAGTGTATGGGATGAAGTCTGGGGGAACTTATGTATATAGCTTGAGTATATTCTTTGTCTTTGTTAGATATAGAAGTAGTACATGCTCAGTGTAGGAAATTTACACAAAGCATCATGTAAAATGCAGAAAGCCAAAGATCCCTCTTCCCTGAAATCCTACTCCTCTGCTATACCTGTCACTCCCAGTTTGATGTGTATCTTTCTAGACATACGTATATATGTTCTGTTTAATGGTATTCTATATAGGTATGCCATAGTTTAAGCAAGCCTTATTATCTTGATTTAAATGGTGAAATATTTATATAATGAACAAAAGGATACATGTATGCATCTAAGAAATTTAGTAACTTCCAACTTAGGACCTATCTGAATTTTCTCTCACCTTTCTAGGCTCCTCCTGTCCTAATCGCTTTTTTAAAAAAGATTTATTTATTTTTGAGAGATAGAGAGCATGAGGGAAGGGGCAGAGGG